CCCCCCCCCTGTTAATGATGGGGAATATTTCCATCCGGAAAAGAAGTTGCTCCTGGTGATCTATGTCGACCGACAATGGCTTGGCACTCAAGGTGTACGTGCAAATGGGCACTCAAGAATGGTTGAAGATGTATTCGAGGCTTTACCGTGGATGCGATCTACAGCCCTTCAACAATCTGCCAACTCCGGCAATGCTCACCGTTGCAGCTGTAGTCAACTCTGAAGAAGACGTTCAGGATCGAGATGAAGGTGGCGAAATCGTCTTACCGTCAGAAAGGAATGAGGCAGAAGAGGCAGCACAACGGAGAAGCGCCTTGAAGGCGGCCCAGGAGATGCGAGCCAACTTATCCGTGGGCGGGAAGCCCGATGCCACAACAGTTCGTTCACAGGTCACGATATTATGCTCCGATTTCGAGTTGTACGCCAAGAATGGACAGACGCCCTCCCCATTCCCAAACGAGCTGCTGAACAAGGGATGGAGTCAACTCATTAGGTGCGCGCCGGCGGTCAACACAGCGGTCGACTTTGCGGAGACACAGAGAGTCTTTCAAGAACTCATCAACAACTTGGCGCAAATGCTGCAGGAACAAAGATCAATGGCAACCATCCATGTTCATCTATGCTTACAAGCTATCGTTCTCGAGAATCTGGCAGTTCCGCTTCACGAGTCATCCGCTCAGGCCAGAGACAGCATGGAGGCATTACTGAAGGACGTTTACCGCAAGTACTTCGACCTTATCATCGACATGGTCTCCAGGCCGCCGATCGTGATGATAAACCATGACAAGCATTTCTTTGCTGCCGCTCACAAGACTCTCGAAAGACGCCAGGAATTTCCTGGGTATGACGCCGTGGGCGCTCAGCTGCGACTACGTGGATGGATCGTCGTTCAAGGTTCTTCGTTCTGTTGACGAGCTCACTCAGAGAGAGTCACTCAGGATCACACGTCTTCAACACCGACAAGATCGTCGAGCGCGAACCTCATAAACATCATCACAGGCGGTGCGATTTATGAGAAACAATTACTTTGCGAACAGATGATTGCAGCTTGCTTCTTGAACTCTGAGCAGTTGGACACTTGGCAGACGATGCTTCACCGGAAGGTCGTCAATGTCAAACGCTTCAGAGAGATTTGCGTGGACTTCACTGAGCTGCACTTCTCCCCCACCGTGAACCTCAACGCATGGGTTTCAAGGGATAGACGTCGCGCTATCGAAGAGGAAAACAGGCGCAATGACGTCCTGGAGTAACGTGGCAGAACTTCGACATATCTCTGAGCGTACCAGAACCGTCATACCTTGACGAACAGAACTGGTTCAAGATCGATGACTACAGTACATCCGATCGGGAAGCATGGACTCCCGGGAAGATTTTCTTCTGTGTACATTGTGAACAGGAGAAGGGTGCGGACACCTTTTGCAGGGATACTACTCCATTTGGATCAGGTCATCCTCAATTTCCAGATCGATGCATTGGGTGCACGTACAAGTATGCTCTTCACAACACGTACTACAAAGTCAACACCTACAAAGATCTCAGGGAGAACGAGACGTACGCCCTCGCATGCGCAGGGTACATCTACATTCAGTACTTGAGCGAGACGAAGCCGGGCAACGACTTGCTTGATTATTATATCAAGAAATGCTGACCCATCGTCTACAACTTCGTGGGAAAGGTTGTATCAGCATACGGAGGCCTTCGATGCACCATATCAACTGCCATCGCGTACTACGATGCAGGAAATGCAGGGTATGCTGGTTTCATGACAACGCTTCTGACCCCACAAGAAAGAGAAGATCTTTTCCGAGGCAATGAAAACCCTGCTGAGGAACTGTTGGGCGACGTGCTGGAACTATCGTTGGGTCTCCTAACATTTGGACTACGTTATCCTCACATCTTTCCGAAGTGGGGAACCGCGCAGGACATCAACGCATGCACCCATGGCATCGAACGATGTTTCTACCCGTGCACGTCCAAGGAAAGCGTCAAACTAGTTACTGCAAGGTACCCAAAGAAGAGAAAGCCGCCTACCAAAGACGAGACTGTGGAGAAGTACGTCAATGAAATCGTCACAGCTCTGTCTGAAGATCGGTTCATCGCTGTACCATCATCCAGGGTCGATCAACAAACTTCCGATGATGTTGGTATGGAAAACTGCAAAACTTTGCACACCTTGTATGTACATGTATTTTCCTATTTGCATTTGGCCGGTATGTGTATTTGTAAGAACACTTGTTTTATCTTTCAAGCTCCTGAATTCGTTTGAGCCCAATCGTGAATGCGTGACTTCGCAGGCGCTTGTGTTTGAGTGAAAATTAGCATGGTAGCGGAGCTCAAAGGCGCTCTAGGGTCTTTGGTTTTGAGTTCTGGGAGCCAGGACCTCAGACTTTCGTGTTTGGGTCTCGTCTGTTGGGGCCTCGTCTTCCGTAAGCGCGGCGGGTAGCTGCAGAGCATTCGCCATGGCAAACGGGCCAGCAACTCAGCCCTTGCCCGACGATGATGATGACCTTGCAATGCCTGAGCTGATTCCGGCACAGCAGGGCCTCGGAGCAGGTGGTGTTGTGCCTCCTCTGCCGTTGCACAGTGCGGCGTCTGTGCCAGGAAACCCTTGGCCCGCGAACAGCCCATATCCCGCGAACAGCCCTGTTGCCAGTGATCAGGTTGCAGCTTTGCTTCAGCAGCTTGGGAGCACCACTAATCTCTTGAGTCAGATGGTCTTGCAACAGCAGCGCCCCACGGATGATTCCTCGCAGCATCTAGGATTGTCCGGCAAAGACATGTCGCGGATCATGCCGCGCCCTGAGCCCTTTCGGGCTTCGACACGTGAACAGGAGCATGCTGCATGGCCAGCCTGGCTCTGGGGGCTGGAGCAATACCTTGGGGTGTTAGATCCTAAGTTTACTGATGAGATTGCTGAGCTAAAGTTGAATTTGAACCGTGAAGTGAATGTTGCGCCGACTGCCAGTGACATCCTTGCTCGGTCGAGACAACTGTATGCGCTTTTGTCAGTGCTCATCAAGGGTCGCGGTTTTCTTGTGGTAAAGTCTGTGTCAGGGAACAGCGGCTATGAAGCGCTGAGGCAGCTTATATCCGTGTATGCGCCCCAGAGCAAGTCTCGAAGCTTAGGGATCTTGACTGCCCTCACGCAAGTCAGTGCGTTCAAAGGTGGTGAAGCATTGTTTCCACAAATCCTTGAGTTGGAGAGGGTGTTCACGGAATATGAGACTGCTTCCCAGCAACTCCTTCAGGAGGAGCTCAAGACAGCTCTCCTTTTGCGATGCCTTCCTGCAGCTTCCCGCAATCAGGTACATGCAACACTTCCAGAAGACGCGTCCTACACTGCTGTGCGTGACTGTGTTTTGCGCATAGAACGTCAACAGTACAAGTGGCAGGGTGTTGCATACTTTGGGGATCATAGTGCAAGTACCGGTAGCGGCGACAATGCTGTCCCCATGGAGCTGGACAGAGTCAAAGGCAAGAGCAAAGGCAAAGCCAAAGGTGACAAGCATGGACAGCATGGCAAAGGAAAGGATGCTCAGAGCAAATCTAGAGATTCCAAAGGTCATGGCAAAGACAAGAACAAGGCCAAAGGTGGCAAACAAGGCAAAGCTAAGGAAGGCAAAGGCAAGGCTTCTGATCGCCAGGCTGACTCCAACAAGTGTCTCTACTGCCATAAGCAAGGCCACTGGAAGCGAGACTGCAGAAAATACAAGGCTGACGTGCAAGCCGGCAAAGTGCAGGCAGTGGCTGATGACACGTCATCTACTGTGTCCACGGTTGCCCCTTCGCATAGTGCATCGAATGTTGCTTCTGCCGTCACAGCCCCTCGAGGTCGCGTGGCCCGGATTGGTGAGTTGCTAGACCTCACCGTGATCGATGATGACAGTGACGTTCAAGTCTGCATGATCCAGTCTGATGAACGAAGCCAGCCTGTTTGCTTTGATATCCATGATGCCTTCGATCCGCCTGCTGCTGTGTGGGACATAGTCTGTGAGTATGAGCGCTTGGGTTTGCCAGGAGATGTGCTTGCGCATGCGTGTCTGCAGGCCAACCATGATGCAAATCCAGTCAAGTCCAACACAGATCCTTTCAGCCGTGATGCAG